CTAAATTTTTATTAATTTTTTTTTTACAGCTCGATCCTCTTGTGGAAAGGCAAGAATCTGAAGGTGAATAAATCAATTACATTTTTTTTAAACAGAAATGAATCCGCATTACAAAGAACAACAAACAAAAGATCTGTGGCACATTCTTTGGAAAGATCTTTTGCAAATATTTCTTCTAAAAAAAAGAAAAACTGTAATTCTCATAGATCACATGTCTCTTTCAAAGGTCTATACAAGGCAGCTAAATTTTATTCACAAAAGCTCCAAGATGCAGCTCCATTGCTGAAGGAGATAAAATACATGGAGTCCCCTTTATTTGCGTTGCACGTCTTCCCACTGAGAGCATCGCCGCTTCTCCATCCTGCAGACAGAATCACTGCGTGTACTACACAGCTGGCACATTATTCCGTAACAATTACAGGAAATTCATATTATTTTAGAGACAGACCAGTGATCCTCATATCAACTGGACAATTTATTCCTTTTTAAAACAATTTTAATAATACCAAGATTTGACTTTACTCTAAAGTTACAAGAAAGCAAAAAATATAATATAATATAATATATATGGTAATAAATTAAAAAAAAAAAAAAAAAAAAGGCAACCCTGCTCAGGTATCATCCAAACATAGTCACATTCAGGAAAAAAAAAAAAAAAAATTAAAACAAGATTTGGGACACACGCATATAATCACGCGCGCGCACACACACACCAACATGAACAGTGTATAGTTGTTATCTGAGGGGGGATGTGCAGTAATTTTAACAATACATGTTGATGGCCTGAACAAAAGGAGAAGTTAATACTGCTTGTGTTAAGCATCGCTTAAACATCTACTTTTAAGCAAAGCAAGTTGTCTTCTTAGGTCAGCCACCGCCTGGTCTGACCAGTAGTGCAGCCTGGCCAGCCTCTCTGTCAGTGGTCTTATTCCCTTGTCCTTCCAGGCCAATATAGTAGCATCTAGGCTGACAGAGAGCTGCATGTGTCCTGCCTGCTCCTGGGTACAGAAATACAGGCACTTCTCTACCCATCACAGTACCTGTTGATATCTGGCACACGGTGAACAATATAATGTGATTTTTCTCCAGGACAGTAGGAAATTTACAGCTAACTTAAGAAAGGTGGTAGATGGTGCTGATAAACTCATTGTAAATAAAAACTAAAGAACATGGCCAGTGGTCAGAATTCATTCTCAGTCGCTGAGAAACCAACACAACTAGATTGCATGTTTGACATTTACATGGTAGAAATACCACATCGCAGTGTTTGGAGGAAAATCCCCAACACCATGCTATCCTGCCTCTCCATCTCCTGCAAACAAAATGATAAAACATTTAAAAAGGCACAGGGAAAACCTTACATCTGTACATTCTAAAAAGAACCAAAAACAAAAGCGGCAACCCAGTAAAGGAAGGGAAAAAGGAGCAAGTACCGCCATATCCTGACACCCCGCATAGCCAACAACGCATAACCTGCTTCTAGTGAGAAACCCTGATGTTTGTGTTTCTAAAAGAAGTTCAAATATTCTTGCAAGACTTAAATACTGCTAATCAATGATATGGAGTGTAAGAGACAAAGTGGCAAATATTTTTCCAAAGATTTTGTGTAGTGTCTGGGAAAATGAATTCTTTAAAAAAAGTAGAATCTGTGGTGGGAGGTAGGGAATCAGGCCTTATTTGATTCATTTCCGTTAAGATGCACAAATACACCTCAAGCTTCGTGAAGCAGAAGAGCAAAAGCTGCAAAGACCCACACAACATCTTGTAAAGCCATGGCTAAACAAATACAGTATTATTCCAAAATTAGGTTTGGTCTACAAAAGGCACAATAAACATATCCAATTCAACCAGCTTCTTATTCTGTGGGTGTGCGTGTGTGCTCATACACACATCTCCTTTCATATATCAGAGCTAAGAGTTTTTTACAGCTAAAAATTATTAAACAAGAACCACAATAAAATAGTAAGCTCCTGATCTTACTAACATTAACATTTAAGGTACCAATTAAGGCAAGTTTTCAGTCAGAAGTGGGTGTGTTTTTAGCTTTTAAATATCCTGAGATCTGGAATTAAAGGATATAGAATGAGGGAGGTAAGTGTGGTCCAAGTCGTCTAAGGGAAATAGCTAAACATCTTGGTCAAAACAGATCTATAAAATAAAGGTCCTTTTGTTCAAAGAAATCAGATGCTTTTCCCATTCAATATTGTGATTAAATCATATTACCCAGTAAGTCCTTCTAGTCCGGACAATATGCCTGCTGGACCCCGGGGCCCTCCACCACAGCTGGCACGTGGGAACTTGGTAAATTCCAGTGAAGTGTTTTTCATTGTTTAGCAGGGCCCTTCGTCTGGCTAAAGCCTCAAGTTCAGTCATCATCTCCAGAAAGGACAGGCACATCTTTAAAAATAAAACAGTGTTCTTCCATTTCCTAACAATGACACATGAAACTGTAGTGGCAAAGACAAGATTTTACACACAATTTTCTCTCAAGATGTTTTGCACTGTCTCACTGTGAAGTACATACTGTTATTGCTGTAACAACTTCACAGATTCAAAGGCTTAATTTTAAAACTAGTCCTTTCAATTATCTGCCTCAGTACAAATTTTGTCTTTTGAAATTTAAGCATGCAGCAAAAAGGTGCAAATTATTTACAGCGTCTTTTGATTTCTATATACAACTGTAACCGACAAAAAAAAATCTGATGAACATGAAAGATTCATCAAGCCACTACCTTTTATATACTCCTTTTAAAAGTAGGCACTAGGAGTTCTCTTGTCGGGAGAATGCATGTTGCAGTCCATGATCAGAACAGTACACACCGATCACTGCAAAATCATTAGTTTTTCAAGGGACAAATACAATTTTAACGTAAAGTTCGGGGGTGGGGGCACCCACAAAGATTAAGGCCACTGCAAAAGCAATCACTTCTTTTAGCGTTTGCTGAGAAAACAAGTTGGAAATATCCTCTGCCCGGGGAGCAATGTGGCTTGCTCTGGCACTGTCCACACGGGTCAGCACCTGCCCCAGAGAACGCACCCTTCCAAACCAGCAGGCGACACATGCCAGGGAGGGGCGAGGTATAGGGGGCAGGATTGGCCAAGAGCATAAAGGGAAAAGAAAAAAAGATGTCAACTAATTACATATGCCTGATTCCGGTATTCTGTCTCCTCTATCTGAGGACACACAATGTCACAAGCACACAACCTACTAGACAATTACTGCTCATTTAATCACAGGTTGCTTTTTTAAATGAGTAATTCAAAAAGGACCATGGCTTTGCTTTAGAATGTCAAGACCACACATCAAGTTCTTATGCTCAGATGTTACTACTGCTCTTAATTCTCTGGCTTTAACCTGAATATCCGGTAGCAGAACTCTGCCCTGGCTAGTGAAGACAAAAGAGCGGTCTGCATGTCAGTGAAGTTAACAGCTTCACACACTTCATGCTGTGAAAAACAAGCATCAGCTCCATCTTTTATACATCACTTTATGTATGTGCCCAATTTACCAAGGAAGTTCTTACATTCATTTTATGGACCTTAGACTTCATTATAAATCAAGAGGGCGTTCACTCCCTTCTTCGCTAATAAATAAGTAGGAAAATGTCAAACATGCTTGGTAGAAAACAGGCAGAGGGGCAGAATGGGGTAAAGGGAGAAAAATAAACCAACTGTAGAGAGAACACTCACTCCTCAATCTACTGTGTGCAAATTCTACTTCTAAAAGGGATAAAAAAAATTGGCACTCAAAATAACGCTTCCAATAATAACCTTCAAAGTGTCAATGAAAGAGAAAATCTGTGCTTATGGAGATGTGGGAATTCAGATCTGTTCTTTCATTTTAGGTCACTCAAAATGAACTTGGTTCAATGTATACAACATGGCAATAACAACTTAGGGGAAGGCCACAGTCCCTCTTCAACCTGTCCAATGTAGCTGACTGAGAACGCTCTGGAGCGAAGGCATGTGGTGATGATATATTTTTTTTGTAAGTCTAATTAACCACCCCAAATCTCCACATCCTTTCAGGGAGATAATTTCCCCTAGACAAGTAAGGGCTCTGAAAGTCTAGTTTTGCTATAAATATAAAATAATTCGTAGCAGAAAAATATAGCCTCTCTAAGTAGATTTCATTTGTCTTTGTTCGCTGACAAAACTGAGTTGGTAAGACAATGTGAGTTACCACATAACTGTAGACCACAGATCAGCACCTCAAATTCCAGCTCTCCTTCCACAAAAATTAAAAAGCCCTTTAGCCAACTGTTTATGTATAAATGTTGGCTCCCTTCTTCCCCAAGTAGAAAATTCAGAACCTAGTCATTTGAGACTGCTTTTTGCTGAAGCCGGGGGTGGGAATGAGAGCAGCTCGTCCTGCGATGGCCCCCGTGTGTGCTGTGGCTCCTCCTTCCACTGCTCCAACTCTGGCTGACTTTCAACACAGTAATGAAGAAATCAGGGCCGGGGCGAGCGTGCAGTACTCTAGGCAGTGGGAGGGTTGCCTTCGATTTCTCTAAGTGATGACAGTACTTGGTATTATCAAAGCAACTGCTCACTGGCAGAAAGTGGGGTACAGAAAAGTCCTTCACAATTTATGTTTTATAGATGGCTGTTAGAATTGACCGAACAAATATTTTCCCAAAAAGGTTAAAAGAAAAAAAATCATCCACAGAACCCTATACCACCAAAATTCATTGTTAAAAATACTTCCTTCTGCGAATGGACTAGTGTGGCTACTGAGATGACATGAGTTTGCTTTCAGAGTTGAAATTACTTCTCCTCACTTCATTTTCAATTTGCATCCTGCTGGTTAAAAAAAAAATGGAAATGTTTCTAGACCATTCATATACCCCTCTCAGGCTACATTGCACTTCTGTCCTCTTTTCGAAAGGCAAAGATCATCTCTGAAGCCAGCCTCCTCATTTCTACATCTGCATAACCATCGTGCCCAACCAACAACCACATAATTCTTGAGAGTTTAAGTGGACAGATGTCCTGGCCATCTCATGGTGCTTCTCAAATTTTGGTGTCCTGATGAGACAAATGTCTGGACTGTTTTTGAAGCTTCCAATGTGCAAAATAGTGCCCAAGGCATCAAATCGGCTCGGGCCTCCGTTAAGGTGTTTTGGTTCCTTGTTTGAGCCACTGAAAACCCTGTCTTGTGTAGTGCACCAGATCCACCAAACTGCTGTTGAGGGCCAAGGTGCACACGCTTGTGCTGAGCTGAGCAAAAAACTCTGCAAACAAAGCAAAACCAAAACCACATAAACACTCTTGCACACATGAAAATAAAAAAGGCAACAAAACGTCATTTTTTGTTGTTGTTGGTTCCAGAAACAACCCCCAAAGTAGTCTGTACGTCATCTATCACAGCAAAAACTCCCAGTCTACCGTAATGGCCTGCTCATTCCCCATAAACCTCCACCAGCCCAGCAGGGTAGGAACTGAGTTTTATTTTAGGGTTGAATCCATAATGCCCAGCACAGTGGCTGGCACTGAAGAACACCCAATTTATACTTTCGGATCAATGGATGCAGGAAAAAAAAAACCCACAACAACTCAACACGTTTAAAAATCATCATCAGTTTGCTAAGAAATTAAGTTCTTAGAGGCTGTGAGGAAATTAACTGGCCACAGCCAGGAAAGAATATGTCGTGGCATGACTCTGGCATTTGCGTCTAAAGCACTTGCTTAGTGGTCACTGGCACGGACACCAGGCAGTTCCTCAAACAGCAGCTCCACAGCCTCCTCAACTCTGGATTTCTCCCAGGGCCTTCGTCTCACATGAGTTTCAAGAACGTTCACTTAGGCCGCACCTGTACTGTCGCTAACCATCTTCCTCAACACATACTGAAAACAAACATTAAACTCAGTGTTTAGGTTATGCCACTGCACATCTCAACCCTGCTGTGCCTGCAGACAGCCAGCGACCTTCCTTCGGCATCTGCCTCGCCCTCTGCTACCATTTCAGTTCAGGCTGAAGTGACGGTGCCGGAGCTTCTGCAGCGGCAAGGTGCTGAAGCCACACCTCACTCCAGCTTGCTAAGATCTGGCTACAGAAACCCAGCTCCACGCCACAGAGCTCAAGAAAGAACTGCAACTAGGCTATGCGGTGGAATGGAGAAAATGTGCGAAAAGTCAATAGGTACACATTTCTTGTCCTTCAAAAAACTAAACGCAAACTACAACTACTCCCTCCCAATCCCCACGCCCCAGGAATTCCCACCACACGGCCATTTACCTTTATTCTTCCTGGTAAGGACCTCAGCCTGTTCCCAAAGATCAAAGGCGGTAAGGATGTGGGAAGTAATGGTGATGTAGGAAGATGTTATGTGTTGGATGGCGGCAGGCATCCCACCGCTCCCCACGCTGCCAGCACTCGACTGGGATCCCGCGCAGCTGGCAGAGGAAGGCATTGGGGAGAGAGGGGATGGTGTGCCTGTGCTTCTGGAAGGCGGAAGAGCAGAGAGAACTGGTCAATCACCTGAGCCCCCAATTTACAGATTTCCTGCCTCTGAAACTGTAGGCCAAGTCACCAAGTTTCAGTGTGTATTTGCCAAAACGACAATCACTTCTACAAGGTCAAAGAGATACCCTTCGCCTTCAGTATTCTGGAATTTATTTCATAAAACACAGTGAGATGGGCCCCACCGAACAGGCGGAAGCCTGGCGTCCTCTGCTAGATGGCGAAGGTGGCGGGCAAGTCCTTACTGCAAACCTGCTTGCCCTCGCCGTTTCCGTCGCCTGCTCCTCAAGCCTGGAGTCTCTTCCCTTCCAACCCCCATTCCAGCCTCTCCTAGTAAGACAATACCGCCCTGTGAACACGGTCATTATCCCTTACATAGTCATTCTTCCATCCACTCTGTAAACATGAACTGAATATCTACTCTGCACCTGGCGCTCTTTTAGGCACTGGGGATACATCAGGGCTTCCTGTCTGCCCCTGAGCTTTCCCCCTTGCATTTATTTACTTACTCATCTACTGCATTTCTCACATTCCACACTTTTGTTTATTCCTTTTCCTGGGTTACAAGCACCTTGAAGGTAGGGACCATTTGTTATTTATCTTTGCATTTCTAGCACTTAAGCAGAGTAGGTGCTAAGAGTAGGCCCTTGATAAATATCTGCTGAATCAATGACTGGCTGACTGTAGCACAGCTGACCAGGGGCCCAGGAGCCCCAGCAAGGCAAGGAAGCATCAGGGGACTCATCCTCTCCTCTTTCCTCTCCCCTCTTGACTATATACCTGCTCATGCAAATTAACAAGCGCCCTGATGTGGGTCAAATGAGAAACACAAGTGAAATCACTTAAACTTAAATGAATATAAAATGGAAAGATGTGGCTACAACCTGCCCTTTTTTTGGTAGAGGAGTTGTCTAACATAATGGGACTGACAATGTATCAGCTTAGAACAATATCTCAGAGCTGAGAGTCATGAAAACTTTCAGAGGCAGGAACTTACTTCTCATTCAGGATTTTTTTCTTTTTCTTATTTTCCCCCTGAGAAACCACATGGGAACTTCTTTCTTTAAATATGCTGGAAATAGGGCAATCTTCTAGGTGATAATTCTTAAAATAGCAAAACTATGACAACTGGGAACTTTCAAGGGGTATAACCAATTAAAAAAAAAAAAAAAACAAACCAGGCAAATACTTTAGGAAAGAAAAGCCTATCTTCACCTGCACAAGGACTGTTTTTCTACATCTCATGGCATAGATGAATAATTTTAGTTCAAGGAGTCGGGGGAAGACTTAATTAGAGATAATCATTTTTGTTCTTAATATCACTATTACAGATCCTAGAGAAAGTTGAGGGCATGTGTTTCTGGAAAGCTCTTGTTTACTGAAACTCCAAGAATGATATGAATAGAGGGAAAAAGGACTTTGATTCTTGTTCTCTTGGCTTTGCCTCTATATGGTTTGGGGTGGTATGCACATCTAAAGATCCTCAAAATTTTAACATTTTGACTGTATAGTTTTAAGATTTTTTTTTTTTTTTTAATAAAGAGGGGAAGGGAGGGAGAGAAACATCAATGTGTAAGAGAAACATTTATCGGTTGCCTCTCGCAGGCCCCCAACTGGGGACCTGGCCCACAGCCCAGGCATGTGCCTTGACTAAGAATTGAACCAGCAACCATTTGGTTTGTAGGATGACACCTAACCCACTGAGCCACACCAGTCAGGGCTTGACTGCATACTTTTTGCAATTATTTTTTTGTTACCCAATCAGAAAATGCCTTGATTTAAATTCCTCAAAAAGTAGAAACATGCAAGTAATTTAGTTAGAAAGCAAATCAGCACATGGATGTATACAATTTTTTGAAAAACCAAAGTCACGTGTACATACAAATGGTTGCAAAAGAAAGATGCAAATAATGACCCGATATTGCAAATTATTTAAATTAGACTTATCATTACCTTGCAATGCATGGAGAAGGTGCCTGCGTAACTTTGGAAGAACTCTGGAAGTGTTCGTTAAGAGTACGAGAATACTTTATTGCTCTATCTTTTTTACAACGAAACATCGCCATGTTCAAAATGGACTGGCAACGCATGCTATGAACATAAACAGAAGCTGAGTGTCACTACCACAGAAAGACAGCCATCTGATCTTTTACAACCTAATGAACACATGGGTTTCTTCATCCACATGAAGAAGAGTATCTTAAGAATCTTACTGCACTGTTCACTGTCATCAGAACTAAATATTGGCAGGAAAATACAATTATACAAAGATATAATTCAAGTGACTAAACCAAAGCACTTACTGAGTCATCAGTAAAATGGCAGTAGGTGCCATTTCATAATAATTAACTATCAATGGGATTAATCCTGACCGTAATCTTTCATTGATCACCTTTCACATTTCAATTTTTTTCACTTTTCAATTTTTTTTTATTTTCATGCTAAGCGAACAAATTTCAAAATCTTTTTGTAACATCAAAAAATACAAAAGCAAATGAGACGCTTTTTAGACAAAGAAAGAAGTACTTACCATAAAACAGCAAATATTTTCTCTTGAGTTGATGCTGTGGGGTCTGTGAAGGATTTTAGTGACATTATGATTCTATAGGAAAACAAAAAAATAGATCAGGTCAAACAAAAGCATTTGGAAAATCCCTGACACCAAGACGTCTTACAATGTTTGTCTCAGCTTTATACTGATTTTTTCCTAAGGATGTGAAGACGAGAGCAACACAGAGGCTTTGGAGCAACAATGCAGACCATTCAGAAAACTAGGTGAGGACACGTCTCTTCTCTGGCCTGACCACCTGCTTGAACCCAAGTAGACTGGCGTCCTGACTGAGTCCCTTGTTGAAATGCAGATAACAAAGATAAGAACTTAAACTGAGATGAGAGGGCATCTGATAAGAAAGCCAAACTGGAAAATCCAACCTCTCCCTGAAAGGTTTGGCATTTCACAGAGCACTTGGCAAATGAGGTAGTTGGATCCAGCTTTTCTGTTCTAGCATTCATCTAGAATATAATTTTAGTTCAGGACAAAAAAAAAGTTCCTGGATCGGTGACATTTTTAAGGTCCCCCTTTATTAAGCTGCCTTTATACTAAGGTTCGAATGGCTTATGGCAATAAAGGTGAGGAAAGAGAAGTACTTAAGAGGATGGCAAGTGACTTGGCACTTACTTAATGAGGTCTTCGGTTTCAGAGTACACCGAGTAAGCTGACTTGGACGCTGGGCTTTCAGATTCCATGGCAATCCCATACTCAATGAGGGACAAGGCGGCTTCCAAGTACTTAAAAGCCTTCCCAACCTTGTCCGTCTGTGGAAGAACATGATCATTGTTAGGCCTAAGACAGGCTTTTATTTAGTTTCTCCCACATTCTTCACTGTAACTTCCCTCCACTGTCATAGTTTAATTACGGCTACAGAGAAGTGTGAGAACAAAACAACTCAAAATGATTAGCAAATCCTATTGGCTCTGACCTACTGAAAATGTTCTTTTAACACACATTCAGTATTAAAAAAGAAAACGATTTTGTAATAGGACGACATTCTCAAAACCTTAAAGTACATATTCAAACTAAGGCAATGAGTGCATAGTCCCCTTGTTATTAGTGCTACTAATTACTCATTATGTGATTTTCCTGAGGAATAGATTGTTCTGTCCATATAGAATAACGCAGGCACAAATTTCTTTGTATGAGTTGAAATTTATCTTTCCATAAATAGAAAATGTTATGGTTTATGAGAATCTTAGATATTATATTAAACAATAATTGTTTTATGAATCTTACAGCCCAACAGATTTTCTCATCTCCTTTGGAAGTCAGGGCTAAGTATACAAAGTTATCCCCTGAGCCAACAGAGACAAAATCCCAGTCTATCTCTTTGAAAGATTTTTTGGGGCCAACAGGGGAAAAAATCCCAGTCTATCTTTTTTAAAGATTTTATTTATTTATTTTTAGAGAGAGAGGAAGGAAGGGAGAGAAAGAGGGAGAGGAGCATCAATCGGTTGCCTCTCACGCACGTCCTGACCAGGGACTGAATCCCCAAACCCAGGCATATACCCTGACTGGGAATTGAACAGGCGACCTTTGTCTTTGCAGGATGGCACCCAACCAACTGAGGCACACTGGTCTGGGCAATCCCAGAGTCTCTTAAAGGGAATATAGAAATATAAATGACATCAGATATTGGTGAATACACATTTTGTCGCTTAATATTTCTCTCACTTAGTGGAATATAGCCAACTCAGTTGAGACTGTGATGAGCACCTCTTTTTATTTAACACATGGTATATGTGCCACACATTATAAGAGCAACTGATTAACACATTTCCAAGTTTGTAGTTTTTGCTAATGCTTTCAGTTTGATAATGTTAAAAAAGAAAGAATGAAAACAGTAAAGATGGAAGTGGAGAATAAAAAGATAGTGACATATCAGCAGAGAAAGATGGTTTAGGGCAGCTGATACCAATTTTTAAAAATAACAACTTTAAAACATTTTTTTCCCCTAGAGAACGTATGCTCAGAAAGATAGTGACAGAAAGAAAAATCTAACTAACATGATTTTTATTAATCAGCAGTACAAGGCCTTATTGGTTTACTTCACTGTTGGGAATTAAAACTCTTCAAATTTATTTTTTCAATATTATGTTTTTCATGGAATTTCCAAAATTTATTTTGGCCTTAGGTAAAAGAAACCACAATAAAGCAATTTGTTGCTATCCACCTCCTTCAGTATTTTTTAAGGCCAGTAATGCACATATGCCTCAAAAAATTAAAGATGGGTCTGCCTTTCGACCCGGCAATCCCACTTCTGGGAATATACCTGAAGGAGCCCAAAACGCTAATTAAAAAAAAAAAGCTGAAGCACCCCTGTGTTCATTGCAGTGTTATTTACAGTTGCCAAGATACGAAGCAGCCGAAATGTCCATCAGTAGTTGAGTGGATAAAACCACCATGCGACATTTACACAATGGAATACTACTCAGCAGTGAAAAGGAAGAAAATTTTATTACCCTTTGTGGCAGTATGAATGGACCTGGAGAACATTTGCTAAGTGGAATAAGCCAGTCAGAGAAAGACAAATACTATATGATTTCACTCCTATGTGGAATCTAATGAAGAAACTGAACTGACAAGGAAAATGGGGACAGACTCACAGATGGAGGACAGGATGACAGCTGGAGAGGAGGGGGATTTTGGGGGGTGGAGGGAGTGAGCGAAAAGGAAAAAGGACTCATGGACACGGACAACAGTGTGCTGATTACTGGGGGGAGGGCATGTAAGGGGACTAAATGGTAATGGGAAAAAAGCAAAAGAAAAAAGAAAAAAGAAAAAAGAAAAAAAATGCACATATACCTGCAATAAACTATATGGGTCTCCTGATACAGTGTTAAAACAGTAGAGTTCTAATTTCTCTTCTCAACAATGAGTATAACATAAAAATGAAATACGGCTCTCTATATTCAGCTGTGTATTTAACTATTTGGAATGCAAAGTGTACACCTTTGAGACAATGTGCAATTAAAGGAGAATATTACAAAGAAGTTGACCGTTCAAGTTTTTGTCCAAACTGCCATATTTTGAGACCAAAATGAGACTTTACGAGGGGACGCAACAGGCATAGATTCTGACTGTCCTGGCACACTGGGACACACGGTTAGCTTAGGGAGGGAAAAGATGTGCATATGTATAGATTAAGAGCAAAACAAAAACAAAGTTCCCTGAAGAGTACTTCCTTTTGAATAATGAAGGAATCTCATGCTTAAAGTGTCCAATGTCAAGATAAGTTTTAGAAAACTGGCTGACAAAGTATGAACTATTTACTCTCTTTCAAAGCTCACGAGGCTTACACAGTGCTGGCAACAACCTTGGAATGTTAGAAGGAAGAAGACTGAAAAAATGCCCCTGCTTGGCATGGTCTTATTCCTCTTAGTCTGACTCAGGTCATCCCGGCACAGGGCCGCTTCACACTGACAGGGGCTTATCTCTGACCCCCTTTTAGCTTCCAGCATTTTGTCCCAACAAACGTGGTACCGATCAAAGGGTCTCGGCCCAGCCCTGCCTATCCTGTCGGAGAACACACGCCAGGCTACAGATTGGGGTTGTGAGCACCGGGCCACAATCCCAATGGCCACCAGAGACGGATCGGACCCGGTTCCCTGTGGGCCTCTCGGGCGTGCGGTTAGGTTTGCATGTGAAAGAATAATGGCGATCTACACTCTTCTCCTGTGGGACAAAATTCAACATATGTTTTTTGTCGGGGTTTGGATTCAGGGAATAGATTAAGTTTAAATGTTTAATTATGACAAAGGACAAACATTACTAATTATACTGCAGCAGAGATATAAAAGCATATTTAATTACGCATGCACTTAAGAACAAAACCACCATCTTCCAGGAAGTCCAACAGACAGCAGGTAGCAAGTTCACTTTTTTTAAAGCATGTTTACCAACAGTGCTATCATCGCCTTCATCTTATAATTCCCTCTAATAGCACCTGTCTACTGTTCCCTCAGGTTAGTCTCTCAAGGACTTTAAGATAATTTTGGAATGCAAATAGGCTACATCGTCTTTCAAAACATTTCAGGGTGTACACAAATAGATCGACTTCCCAGAGTAGGACTCATTTTTCATATCCAAAGAATTGATTCAGTGGTACAAGGAAGCACTCATGTTTTAAATAAAACACTACCAGATGCATCAACTTTCATTCACTTGGACATAAAACTTGTGACTAGGTACTCAGTGTATTTGCCCATGATCAATTAATGAAGTCAAAGAAAATGATCTAAGAATCCCTCATCCCTCACCCATTAAGATCCTGCCAATCCTGCTTCCATTGTGGCCAACGCCAGCACCCGCCTCCCACTGTACTTAGATATGGAATACAGCAGAATGAGATTACAAACGTTCTGTCAGAAAACATTCTACCAAAGGAATAAAGAACCAAGACTGACCATCAACTCTGCTTTTTGCTTCAACTTTTTCGCCTCCTTCATGTGAAGATCTGCTTGTCTGAAAAAGGAAAGATCAGGGGTGGGCCACTGGCACCTAAATTACAAAACTGGAGCAAGACGGCCGAGGAAGACTGAGAGTGAAAAAGGATGGGAGGAGGGGGAGGGCAGAGGAGGAGGAGGAAGAAAAGAAGGGGAAAGGAAGTGAGGAGGAGAAGAAGGTGGAAGCAGAAATGGGCAAAAAGGGACAAGAAGCATCTTGAATCTTACTTGTCAAACTTCACTGGAGGCTTCCCTGGTTTAGAGTTACCATTCGGCAAAGAAGGCACTGGAAAAGGATTTGCAGTATCTCCAGAAGATCCCTTTAAAAAATCATTATAAAGATCACACTCTAACATTTAAGATCATTGATCTACATAAACCATCCCTTTAAATTAACCCAAAATAGTTGGGGGAAAAAAAAAAGGAAATCAAACACTGCATGATTTATTTTGGTCAAGCATTGTTCCCAGCTAGATTTAACTGAAACCATAGGTTCTGATTGTACTGGGGTCTCAAAAAGATATAAGACAAAACTGTCCATGAGAACATACAATAAACAAAACCAAATGTAACATTTTCTTTTAGTCAATACACAGGCACACCAAATACATATACACCCTCGTTAATAGGAAGAACTTGTATTTGAGAAAAATGATAATTTTTCCCCGTTACCATAAAAAATGGAAGTATCTGAGATCAAATATTCAAACCAAGAACTAGCCAGGGTAACCACTTTTTACTACAAAACACCTGATAGAAAATTAACACAAAACATCTACTCTGATTATTTCATTTCTTTTCAAAAAATTTTTAAAAATTGATTTTAGAGAGAGAGAAGAGGGGGAGAGAGAAAGAGAGAGAAAAGGCTGCTTTGTTGTTCCATTTATTGATGCATTCATTGGTTACTTCTTGTATGTGTAGGGAGCAGGGATCAAACCCACGACCTTTGCATATCGGGATGATGCTCCAAGCAAGTGAGCCACCTGGCCAGGGTTGATGTTTCACTTCTGAATCACTTTGAGAATAAACCGACACCTAAATGTTCATATACTATTAACAATCTTTTACTCTCCCTCTAAAGAGTAAAACTTTAAACACAAACAACTCACTATTGCATTAATAAAAGTGCTGAATAGTCCTGAAGCACCCTCATTAGGAACTTACCCAACTTGGGAATTTAACGATGTATCAATATATCCCATTTCATGCAATTGGTGTTTTCCCCTACTTACTTTGTGTTCCATAGAGCTTCCAGAGCCCTTCCCCTCTGCTTTTCTGCGCCTGGGGACAGGAGAGTCCTTATGGGTGCCCTTAGCACTACTGGCACTTTTGGGAGGGTCCTGGCCACAGGGGTGTGCGTCCCGCCTTGGCCTCTTTTGTGCAGGCTTAGCTGGCTTCTGGGAGGAGGAGGAGGAGGAGGAGGAGGAAGAGGAGGAGGAGGAGGATGACACAAGTGTGGGGGGAAGCACTTCCTTCTTTGAGGGCTCAGATGAGGGCCTGGGTGTTCTGGAATGAAACATCGTACAAAACTAAGTTAATGTAGAACATGAGCCTTGTAACTTAGTTGTTTAGTTAAAAGGACACAATGGTTGACAAAGTCTAAAATATCAGAAAGTGTGAAATCCATTTCTGTAGAAAGGCCAAATTCCAGGGACTTTTTGATGCCTTCGAAAAAACCAGTCCAGTCGATGAATACTAGATGAAGTTCTGTGATCCGTCTCTAAGCTCGCTGAGCCTGCCAGTGGCCCTAACTTTTCTTACCGGAGTCAGTCTGCACAGCCACGCCCCTTCTCTGACAAGCAGGCACCTTTACACCGGACTCCTCCCTCTCTCCCTCTCTCCCTCTCTATTTCTCAGAACCCTCCTACCTGGTGACACTATGCACTTGTGTTTGCCACATCATTTTATGAAGCAATTTCTTGAACAAATCAGAGAGAATAAGAGTTACTTTTTGTGACTTTAGGCAAGTTGTTTCCTCTCTCTGTGCCCTGGTTTCCAATTCTGCAAAGGAGGGATAATAATGGCACCTTTCTTATTTTTATGTAAAAAATTCCTTTAGAAAGAAATTAATTCCAAGTTTTTATGAAATTTTCTACTGTTAGAACACTTTTCATAAATCCAAGTTTGTTGCCAAATGATCTGTTACTCTCTCTAAGGTCCTCACGGATGAAAGCAAAATGAAAAAATTAACACATCATCAAAATGAGCCAGATCGAGTTTATTAATCCACTCATTCTATTGCAGAAAACATTTTGCCACATCAAGTCCCAAGAAGACCCGATCACCTTTCTACGCTGTTCCCAATCTCTATACTCACTTTGTTTTAGAAGATTCTCTGTGGGAGGACGAAGAAGATGACTGTGATTTAGTCTCTTTCTCCAGTCTGACTTTCTTGCTCTCATGGTCTCTTTCTGCTTCACCCTATAATTGTAGTATAACCAAGTAGAATTGTTACAAATATAAGTGTATAGGCAAAATAGAAAAACAATATACAGCAAATGCAATAAGAATTAGACTTTGGAGATATCTATCTGTACACACACACTAACCCCCTAAGTCCCTGCACTGTGTGAAGGAGACAGGCAATCTAGATTTGCTGGGGTCTGTGTGGAGACCAGGTTTTGCATGAGGAAGGACTATTCTTCATATCCAGGAAAGTAAGGATGTCTAAATAATAGCTGACAACAAGAAGAATAAGTAAGTAGTAGGCTTCAACACATCATGTGTTTTTTGAAATATAAAGGAATCAATAAAACATGCACATTCACATTGAGTAACAACAGATGATTTTATGATTAAAGTTCCCGTGCTCCTTTCAAAACAACCATCCATTTATTTGTATTCACTAATTTATTAGTCATGTAAAGTACTTAAAGCTCAGCCTTTCTTTCTTTTCTTTTCTTTCCTTTCCTCCCTCCCTTCCTTCTGATTTTATTTATTATTTTTAGAGAGAGGGGAAGGGAGGGAGAAAGAGACAGAGAAGCACTGACATGTGAAAGAAACATTAATTGGTTGCCTCTTGCACGCCCCCAACTGGGGACCGGGCCAGCAACCCAGGCATGTGCCCCAACTGGGAAATGAACCAGCAACGCTTTGGCCTGCAGGATGACGCCCAACCCACTGAGCCACACCAGTCAGGGTGCTCAGCTTTTCTTCTAAAGAAAAAACAAGTATATGTTAAAAATGAAACGGGCTACAAAATCGTCTGTATAGATATTTTAGAGAGAGGTCCAGAAAGACACAAAAAATAAGAATGGTTGCTTTGGGATTCCCGTGATCTTTCTCTTCCAAGGATACCATCTTTTAAAAAGTATTGTCTTATATATTTTTCTCTACAAAAATATACTCATATTTTTATTTTTCAAGAAATTTGATAGAAAACGAAGAAGTGTAAATATGATTTTAGGGAAATGGGATATTTGATTTTACAGGAGTAAAGTGCCTCAAAACATCCCTTTTATGCCAACCGAAGTGTAAGATACATACACAAAATCATTAAGAGAACAAAGAATTCTTCACAGTAAAAGTCTTTCATGTTCTTGTGCTCACCTGTCAACATGCACATTAAGTCTACGAAAAGTTCATCATGTCAACCCAACGTCTGCACGGCGACCTCCTTGCCACTGGTCTGGGCTCAGGCAACATCCCATGGGATGGAGCCACTACCTCTCTACCATGTGACAATGAAGGGATTGGTGGGAGTCCTTCAATTAATTCTGATGCACTTTTAAAATTAAACTTCTCCAACTGTCAGTTCACCAAGATAGAAATCTGGGTCACCACCAGTCAATCTAGGACAATCCCTTAAAAACCCGCAGTCCTCCCTTAAAGCCTCAAAGGAAAAAAAGTCTCCAAATTAACTGCTTGTAGGAGGCCCCAGTTTTTACCACTGTCTCTCTTTTGTTCCCTGAATGTCTCCAAGAAAAATGACTAAATTAAACTGCGTAGGCTTAAGCTCTATGCAAATACTAACAGCAGCCTGGCCCTGCTCAAAAGAAACAGAAACAGAGACACCATGCCCTCCCTCCTCCTCGCGTTCTGCACTCCAGAAGTGCCGGAGTGTGCGCTTCCGTTCAGCTCTTCGTCAGCTTCTCGGGAAAAACATCTTATTTCTTGTCTCAAAATGGGTCATTTCAGGTGGCTTATAAAGATACTTGGTTTTAATCTCTTGGTGTGGGCACAAGTGAGAACATTAAGAAGGGAAGGCTTGTGCCTGTAGAGGCCACCAACTCCGCAATGCCCTGCCCACACCATTCGACACACTTGCAAAGGGAGGCGGTGCTTGGACACGGCTAGTTCCACGTGACAAGTGACTTCAAAGACTTAGCACAGAAAAGGGAAATGTAATTGTTACTTGAATAACATTAAAGCGGTAACATTTTAGATATGAGATAAAATTATTAAAATAATTTAACTGGTTTTCTTTTTATATCTTTTACATATTTTAACATGGTTGCTGGAAAATTTTAAATTACATATGTGGCTCCTATTTTATTTCTCATGCACAGTGCTGCTCTCCATATTCTTCTAAAGGTAATCTGCAAACTGGGCCCTGAACTTCCAGTCAGCCAACGTAAAGAAGGAACTGTAAGATGTACAGGTGAGGTAAGATAAAAACCAATCCGTTCCTCAAAAGTATAACCATTCATTACAGAAGACTGGAGAAGAAGTACCTTGAGGGGCCTAATAAGGATGTAAGATGTGACATAAATAAGCACAACCTAAAGGCCGAACTGAAACACAACAGAAACCGCCACCAGCTGTTTCCCCGGGGGCCTTCAGCCTGGGCCGGGAGCAGAGTCCTGAAGCCCCAAGCAGAGACGCGAGCCTGCCGGGGCCCGGCACAGCACACAGGCCTCCCCCGGCAATGCCTCATGCTGACCTGTGGGAGCCGGCCAGTGTCGGCAGAGAAAAAAGCGTAAATTGGGAATGATTGGGTCAAGAGAGGATCCTACGACGGCGGGCACCTCCCCCATCACTTCACCTACAATGTCCCAGGGGCTCTGCCGCCAGTGAATCTAGCGAATTCTCCTGAGTTTTACACTGAAGGCTGCAAAACTGGCCCAGCAAGCAGTGTTAGGAGATGGAAAACTTATCCTTGGGAAAAGCCCCAGGATTTGCTAAAATACCCAGACAGACATTGCACATGAGGCAGTTAGTAATACATCCTTTTTGCAATGGAAGGTATCCCTGGGCAGTTAATGATACGTAAGTCCCTAAGGCAAAACTAAGCATAAACCGTCCACAAGGTTATTTCCTTAAGAAAATACCAGACCCTAGAGGCGGAATGAGCGTTAGCTTGTTTGTGTATTTTCATGCTGCTTAGGACTTGCTAATTATGACTATAAATCAAAGTGGCAGACCATCTAAACCACATATGAAAATAAGATTCATAGTGAGTCATTTGTCACAAACTGGTTGTTACAGCCCTGGCTTGTGCCAATCAGTGAGTGACTCAAAAGAGCAGCCAAAAAACAAGAAATCAGTAAATACTGATTTCAAGGCTAGCATTAAAACTGTTGGCACTTACTGGAATAATGTGCTTTATATTGACATGTAGCAACTTAGAAGCGGATAATATTTAGTAAACTGGTAGAAAGTAAGCCATTAAACCAAATAAAGCAAAAATCCCCTTCTGTTTGCTTTGCTCGCTTGACTGAGTTCACGCCTATGGGCTAGAGGTTAGTGTTTTTGTACACTGTGCACTTGGAACCCGGTCGCCTTCTGTCTGGAACAGTTGCAGTGGCTTCCCCAGAGTAGGCACTTGGTAAGTATTTGTTAACTGGCACGGAAATGAAGTTCAGCAGCTGAAGGCACAGCCGAGGTCCCTGGACGGATTTAGGAAGAGAGAGCCTTGCAAAACTGGGTGGCAGGAAATGCAGACCTGAATTTCAAGACTGGAAAACAGGGGGCAAGGAGTCTGAGATTTTTCTAGATCAAGGAGCCATTTGGAAATGAGATGAGAGCTTTGCACTCTTCTCTTAAAGAAGACAGAGAAGTCTCCTCTGCCCTGTAGCTTATCCCAGGTGAAGCTCCACTTCAGGGAACCTTGTCTGAAGTCTGGGAGTTGGAAGGTCCCTTTTCTCAGAAGGGTAGCGTCTCAGTGGCGACAACAGGAGGAGGCTGCGGGCTGATGACCTGGTCCTCACGGACTTGTTTGCTTTTCTTAACCTGTTCGGTCAGGCAGCCAGATTATCTGCCAAAAGTGCTCCACCCACAGAGTAGAGCAAAGGGCAAGAATAAAGCCCATAAAAGGAAGCGCTGGGACTGCACTAGGACAAGGTGGTTTCTGGGAGAGAACGCAGCAGGGCAGCCTGCTGCATGCCCAGCCCCTGGCTCACCATCTAAGTACTACATGTACATGGCAGGGAAATGAAGGTGACTTTTTCAGAACTGACGCTCGTTTTGGGCTGTAGCATTTCTAATGGGCATTAAGATAGAGTACTGTAAACTTGGCTGAGATCGGGAGAGATGAGGGGCATCTGAAAGAGAAAGTGAAGCGGAGGCGGCGTGTGGGAGTGGGCAGGGGGAGGGGTGCTACAGTGGCAGGCGTGTGGGCAATACAGAGACTGAGCCAGGGATGATACTGTAACTGGCAGACTCCGTACAATGATCTTCAACTATGACCTTTCGACTCTCTCTATGGCCCCTCCCCCATTAGACACTTGTGAAAGAAAGGACCTGGCAGGAGTTAGCATACCTGAGCTCCAAATCTCCTTTTATGACGCAGCCAAGTGATGTCTGAACCTCTGTAGATCTCACCCATGTAAGGTAGAGACTGAACAAGCGACCTATAAGGTCTAAGTACTTAAATTCTAAGATGCCATTTTCTCCCACAGAGAAGCAAATAAGCTGGGTAGCAAGAAAGCAAAGGAAGCGGAGAAGCAGCCTGTGGGGACATTCCGGTATTTGTCTGGGATGTGCCTCTGCAGGAGGTTCAATAAGAAGATGGCACAGTAGATGCCTAGTGCAAGTCGGCACCAGGAAAGAGGACGTGACTCGCCGGGAAGACAGGATATAGTCACTGGGATAAGTTCTAGAGAAAAGGAAAATTAAGCCACCTCTCCTTATCTTTAAGGTGAAAGAATACACAGGCATGGCTTAAAACAGTCTTAACATGAATATGGTTACAACGTTCTTAGAGTAACTAACAAACATGAAGAAATTAGATTGAAGTAGCTTCAGGAAATTATAATGACTGACTTTTCAAACCCTTGATTTTGAAAGATAATAACTGAGAATGTCACCTGGGGAAATAACCCAAGAAAAGACAGTCAGATCTTGGATAGAAGCGAAGGACTGAGCCAACAACATTCTCAAGCAATAAAAATACACATTTTGCTACCACATCCCATAACTTCCCCTCCCATGCCTCGAAACACACACAAATGATGGCACTGAAATTTGTTCCCAATAATATCAAAACTTCTTGGTCAGTAAAGCAATTATTTAGAAAAAGGAAAACACTTCAATGAATGTACCTCCTATCCTGTTGTATATTGAAATGACTATTAAGACTGTAGCTTTTTTTTTTGAAAGGCAATTTATAAAATGATTGCATTAAATGAGATATTAGGTAAAAATGTGCCCAGAACAATGCTTTGTTCACACGTGGAGTTCTATGCATAACACATGCATTTTTAGAATACTCTCAATTGCCCTCGCCTGACTGTAATTATATTGTGCTTCTCAACTTCAATTTTTCTTCCAAATCTGGAAAACATAAGCTTGGTATAAAAACTATTTAAAAGAAAAAACTAAGTTATATTTTAAATTCTAAACTGTAATCAGGATGATGAACTTCAGTAGTTTATGTTAACAGCACTATGTGTGTTCATACCTATTAACTCTCACAATTTTCTCTATTTTTTCCTCATGAATTGTTCCCTACCCACTCCTTTAAAGTAGTTAAATTATATATACATATACATGTGTGTATGTGCATATTTCTTTAAAAACTTTTTTTATTTATTGATCGATTTTAGAGAGACAGAAAGGGAGGGAGGGAGAAAGAGGGGGAAAGAGAGAGACAGACAGACACCATTTTTTTCGGTTCCACTTATTTAATTCATTCATTAGTTGATTCTTGTTATGTGCCCTGACCAGGAATTGAACCCACAACTTTGGCATACTGGGACGATGCTGCAACCAACTGAGCTACCCAGCCAGGGCTGTGTATTTATATACATTTCCATAGGTGCCACATCTGATGGCTTCATCACAACTGTAACCATCTTGAACTTTTTATGATCTTCTCACACTTTTAAATCTAAAATGGCTTCAAGGATCTGTTTAACATCTGAAAATGTTTGCTAACTGTTGTGCCAGGAGAGGAACAGATCCTAATTAAACAGGCCTTTAAAGAAAAACGCTGAATTCCACTAATGTGAAAGATCAGGCACATTGTTCAGCTACTCTCACTATATCCTCAGAGGGCTTTTTTAGCGATCGCACTTAAAATAAAGAACATGGACAAGTCCCTGCAACCTAAATCGGGGAAAGTGCGCAAACTTAAAAAGAGGGCAGCCCTGCCTCTGCCACAGCTCCCAGGTCCACGTGCGGGGCTGCCCGCGGGAGCAGCCGAGGCCCTGGCCAGAGGATCCAAGGTCCAGACGGGAAGGGGGAGCCCGCCCCTCACAGGGAAGGATCTGATGTTAATAATGTTCAATACCAATCACATCTGGAACCCAGCAGGACATAAAACCAACTGACACATGATCCTCTGATCATAAAATAAATATACAGTGAGCTGGTTTTTATATTTATCTGAAATCTTCTAAGTAATGTTTTTAACTAATGACATACTGGGTTAGCCAAAAATCCACTTAGTTTTTTCCTGTAAAGTAAGAGACATTTTTCATTGTCACCAGTAACTTTATTAATTTGGATATTGTGAGTATGTCGGCTATCTCCCATGTGGTATAATGTTGACTGTTCTTAATTAATGTCTTGATTTGATCACTATCAACTCCAACTGGTCTACCCAACTGCGGAGCATCACCCAGTGAGAAATCTCAGCATGAAACTTCAAAAACCACTTTTGACACATTTGATCAGTCTCAGTACCTCCTCCATATACTGCACAAATCTTTTTTTGCATTTCAGCTGTGTTTTTACCTTTCTTGAAATAATAAAGCATAATATGCTGAAAATGTTCCAATTTTCTTCACCTTCAATTAAAATGGCTACACAGAAATTCACCAATTTTGGTAAGTATTTTTAAAATCGGTGCTGATCTGACTACTGTCAAGATACAATCTAACAAAATTGTTTCAAATGAAACAATTCTAGAGCACTTCTAGAGTCATTGTATGGAAAAAAACAAACAAACAAAAAAACCCCCAAATGAACATTTTGGCCAACCCAATACTTAAAGCAACTCCTGGTTGCCTAGATGATCACAACTAAATGCAGCACTGGAAGCATTTCTCTACCCAAAGAACTAGCTTTGTGTGATGTTGGCCCTGTAGTAATGCTCTGCTGCAGGGGTTCCTGGACCCCTACACATTAGGATTCACCAAGAGTTTAAAAATACCAGTGGGGGTGAGGGGTTTGAGGGTGAATATCCTTCCATTAGTACTACAGGCTCCGCAGGTGACCGCAGTGACAAGCCAGGGTTTAGAACCACTGGTTTGGACCCTGATCCTGTCAATGCCACAGCAGAGGCAGACCGTTCCCAGGGCCAGAGCTCTCATCTGCTTGCCAGAGCTTTAGAGAAAGCACACACTGGACTGAGATGAGGGGCTCATTATTTCTCCATCCTCCCAACAGAAAAATAAATGCGCCGCCCCAGTGCCATTAGCCACGGGTGGGCTGGGAAGGGCTGTCGGAGGGCACAGTTCGTTCATACACTCAGCAGGCAGAGCTGACGTTCCCTTTCCGGAGCTGCACGCAGCACTTCTAGATGTGCAGAGTATGGGTTAGGCTGCGAACTGTCTGGGGAAGCCTCCAATTTCTAACATTTTCACCTAGTTAGGAAGCATTTTAGAAGTTAATACTTCTCACCCCAGCTTCTGCAGAAGATTAGTGTTGGAAACTAGACAACACCATGGTAGCTGGGGGGGAGGGGGGGGCGGAGATAAGTGATAAAAAGATTTCTCAAGGGCAGGAGGTAAATAAATGTAATTTTGAAGTCTTTTCAGGAACATTAAATGCAGGTACCTTTTTCCTAGCCAGGCCCACCACAATTTTCTCCATTAAGTTTTACACCTTTCACACACAAACACCATTTTAATAGTTTCCTGGCATGAGGGAGAATATGCCCTCTTCTAGCTGGAACAGCACTGCCCTTGAGCACTCGACCGCACCCCACTCGACTTGCCTGCTGCAGTCATGGTGGCAACGCCCTCGGGGCTCCTTTGACAAGGTTCTGGAGAAAAGAGTCACCCTTACTATTTGTTAAAGTCATGTTGTATTTTTAACCTAGTGGAGTAATCACTGCATCACAGACATGACAGCAGCCTTCGTGATCTTTTTGTCCTTTGTTATTCTTAGCTCAACTTCCACAACTGAGTAAGAAGTTTCTTCTGCAGTTACAAGAGTGTTCAAATTTTTACTCCTTCTCAGCAGGAAAGAGTTGGCTCTTCTAGTGCCTTTCACTCTGAATCTTGGGCAGGTTGGCTTGGGAGTGCCGCTGGGGGAAAAAGTCACTAATCTTCCATCAAGAAACAACAACAACAAAAAAATCTATCAGGAGCTCAATGGCAAGAATAAAAGAAGAAAGGAGACTACCCAAAATAGTAATATGTCCAGGTAACTGAGGGTCTTAAGTAATGCAGAGATACTTTTTTCTTTTTTACTATGTTCCTTTTTTAAGTGAAACTTCCAAAAATTGTAATAAATAAAATGACAGACTTTTTAATACTTAACAACGTACCATTCCCATCTATACTAGGCAACAACGTGTCCTAACCGTAAGTTTAATACAATAGCTCTAAAACCTTTTAAAATAATCTTCTGCTTATCAGTAGAAGTCAATAATGGAGATCACAGACTGTAAATCTGGTGTGTTCGAATTAATGAGGTAGTACGTGGCCCTGGCGCAGTATCAGTAGCAAAAAGGTGACACTACAGGAGGAGGACTCGGTGGATGGCAGCGCTTTCAGGAATCCAGAATACTAATTAACATTTCAATTCATGGGAAGGTTACAATTTCTAGAGCAAAATCAAATGAGCCAGGTGGTAAATATCAATGTCATCAAAAGAAATAAAAATGGACTCCCTGATGGTACATTATCCTAAAATGAGATATCCTTTTCAACGGCTGCCTCAGCTTTTCTCAGACCAGCAAGACTGCAGAAAGCATCTGGCACGTGGCGATGCCTGGCGGGACAGTGGGAAGCGTCGAAGTCTGCAACAGGGGGTAACGGGCTCAAGGGCAGAGCCTGGCTCGAATCCAAACACTTCCAGCCACTTCTAAGAAAACTCAGGGCTATAACCAGGAGCCAAGCAAACGCAGCCCTAAGCCTCCGGCAGGTACAGGCTGCACTGCAGGGAAAGGCCAGCCCCCCACCTACCTTTCTCTTTTTGGCCAATTTGCTTGAGTTCTCTGAGCTTCTCTTCTCAGAATCCAGCTTCTTCCCTGCCGATGGCTGTTTGTCCTCTGGTTTCTTCTGACGGCTCCCCTTCCCAGGTGGCTGGGGTACCCAAGAGAGGAGGTCAAGGGTTATTTTCACCATCAAGCTTTGTGGGGGAGGAGTGTCCCTGAGTGGGGAGAGCAGCTTGGTGTCTCTCAAAGGCACCGGGAGTTTGTCCTTCCGGCGGTCCTCCTGCACCACCACGGCCCGGCGACAGCCACTAGTCCTGCCACCAATGGCACCGTCATGTGTGGGACCCTGGCTCTGAGTCAGGGGAACGAGAGCCAAATGCTCAGGGCTCCTCTCCTCCACATTGTCACTCGTGGGCTCGGGACCCAACAGCGCCTTCAAGGGGGCCGCGGGCCCACCCCTGTGCTTCTTCTTTTCGCTGGGGGTTGGCACAGCCGGTTTAGGCTCTCTGCTGTCTCCAGCGCGGGGCCTCCCTTTCGTCTTCACCTTGGGCTTTTCCTTGGAAGGCTGGTCCTTGGATCCGTGGGGAAGTCCTGGCTCACTCTCCACCTGCAAGCTGGCCCGAGAGTCCGCTGGGGCAGAGGCCTTGATGGGGTTTTTGGGTTGTTTGGTTCCCACAGTTTGCCTCTGCGGCAGCTCCTGTTGGGCAGGGGACTTCTGGCAGCTCCTCTTGCCGGCGTGGGGGCCTTCAGGAGGGACCCGGGGGGCTCTGCCGGAGCTTTTGGGGGGAGGATCTTTGGATTCCGAGTGCTCGTGACTAGTGGTGCCACCGTCACCACCCTTGCCCTTCTCGTCTGGGTGCTGAGGTGGGTGTTCTGTGCTCCCCAGGGCCTCTGGTGGCACTGCTGGCTGGCTGACTTTGGTCAACCAGTTGTCTAGTTGCCATTTGTTTGTTGTAGGAGGCTCAGGCTAGAAACAAGGAAAAAGAGATAAGTATTAACTGACAAAAGGTGACCAATTCTTCCCTTGGTTGCTCACCCAATTTGACAGCACTGTCCTGGGAGACACGCTCATTCCAAACCTACGATGAGGTCTCTATCCTCCTCAAATTACAGGTCAAATTCTATAAGAATTGACTCTTAAGCCAACCTTTCAATTTATTGTGCTACAGGAATTTTGCTTTAGTAGATACTATTAATAGATTATTAAGTATTGACCAATGCAGACCACTGACCTGCTGAGAAATCTTTACAACATTAATATTTTGTTCTAATGGTAATCATAGTATTAATGGTAATTAATATTTGTTTTAATGGTAATTACAATTATATAATCAGAATTGACACGTTTTGGCTTGCAAACTGTTCTATCAGAAAATAATAGGGAATAAAAAATTCTTTTATCAAGGATTTTCAGAAGAAAACTAATTAATAAACTAAGTCTCGGTCAGTAGCTATAGGTTTCATGCTTTATCCTTTTCTTTACATACTTTTCAACTAAAAATTACTTTCTTCAAACTAGATACCATTTCTCTTATTTAGTTAAAAATGTTATAAACATTTATATATAAAAAGGTTTTCAGTATATCTAGATACTGATTTTCAAATTTAACACCTTAATAAAAAGAATCAAATGAAGTCACATTAGATGAGCATCACTCCCATTTGAATTCTTTAAAAATCAACATTAAGTCTTTTGTCACAGGCAGCATGAGCTGAAGCAGCCTATTTTTCTAAGACACACAGGCAGGCTTCAAAGCACACAATTCAGAGCAATGAGATTATACCGATTATCTATGCGACTGATTTGGCAAATAAAGAGAAGTCCCTGGCATCTCATGTTACCTCAACTGTTGTTTAAATCTTTGTTGCTAACTGATGGTTGATATATCCCACTATCTCTCTCCAACTAGGTGTCAGGATTTATTAACAGAACGACAGAGACCTTTGCATTCCAAATTCCACTACTGTGTGTTACATATGTCAATGTATATTGAGGTATTTTTTTGAGCATTCCTTTAGGTATGTCACTGTGCCCATAAATATGACATATAAAAAATGTTGGTGTCTAACAGGGTAAGCAATGATTATACTTTTTCAAAGGGCAGCACATCATTCATGTTACATGTTTTTCTTAAGACCTGACAGGTGGTTTGTATAAATGACTAAGTCACATACATAGTGCACCAGGAAGTCAACTGAAAGCTATCTCGCACAGGATTTAACTGATTCAATTATAGATAAGGAGATCACTCCAGCAGGTGGGCAGAATTTTACAGGGAAGATTGCTAACAATTTTCCTGAGTCAAATATCCCAAATAATTCAACTCTATAAAAACATGTGAACTTAACACATACAAGATATAGGAATATAATGTAAAGGCTTTCAGGCCAGAAAAAAGGAAGTAAGTGTCACTGAATCAGGACAGAGCTAACAGGAACTTTAAGGAACCAGACAAGACCATGCTTCAGCAGAAAGATGGCTGCATAACTGCTTCCTTCTGTTCACCCCATGTTGCTGCTTAGAATAACACATCTCCACAGTTCCCTTTACCCGCATCAGCTCTAAACCCAGGCTCACATTTGATTTTTCAAAGCAGGGAGGAAGGGAAGAAAGAAACTACTCTTACGCGCCAGGAATTTTGTCATGTGTAATCTAAAACTGTATTCAATATTCTAACAAGACAGGATGACTGTTAAGGGTGGAGAAAAGATTAGCACACAATACCTACTTGTCAAACATTGTTTCATGCAAAGTCTTAGGGGTGTGGTAATACTAGTGGTTAACTGGGGCAAGGCACTGGGAGATATCACTTGCCAATCACATCAGGAACCACACCCTTCAAACCCTTTCTTAGGAAAAGTACGGATATCTCTCACCAGGGCTATGTTTACAACTGTACTCCAGTTACTGACATGCTCTATAGGAGAAGTATTTATGTGTGAACCAAAAAGAAAAGTCAATTCTGGTATAGATATCATCTGCTTTTTCTCTCCCAAAACAGGACAGTATAAGATACATTTAGTAGTCCCCAAAGGAACGTCCTGGTTACAGAAATAAAGCATATTTTCTTCCATTGCAACCCTAAAAATGTCCAGAAGGCAGGCGTATGGCCCAATTGCAGTGTAAAATTGAGCTGGTGTGTCTAGATGGAGGGGAAGGGGCAGGAGCAACCCTTTCCGTATACCTACTATAAGGATGTAAAATGGACAGAATTCCTTCAAGGACAGATAGTATTTCGCTGTTGGAATGGGGGAAACTTTTACATAAGGGACTGATTACAAATAGATTTTAAAATAAATTTTAAGAGTGAAAGTGCTGGATAGGATCAAGGTTCAAGCTTTCGTTTCTCCCTCTGCCTTTCCTCATGCCGCGCCCCAGCCTCCCAGGGCCGTGGTAACCCAAACACTGCACACCGGAAGTGAAAGCATACGCTACACTATCATTAAGCATTTTAATAAATGTTCGACCACATGACCCTTTACCTCTCCTAATTATTCAAATTGGCAAAAGTGTAAATATTTTAGAATGAATTATGATTTTGTATAAAAAGCCTTGAGCTATGTACAATATACAACTATTTTTCTAGTAAAACAATCATAGTTATATTATACATCCAAAAGTTAAAAGAAAAGCAAAGAAGCAGGGAGAGAAGCAGCATGATGTAGTAGGAAGTAAAAAGGCTTCAGAATTAAAGGGCTATGGGTTTGAATCTTCAGTGCTGCTACTTCCTTTACAGGCGACAAGAAAGCTATAGACCTTTTAGGGTTGCAGGGGTGTTAAGAACCTCAGAGGCCATCAACCAAGGTAACTAACAATGACCAAAGAAACAGACAATGAATGGATTAGAAAACTAAGCATATCCCCGAATAACTGAAAACAGAATCACATTTTTCCCTGAACTTTACTTAAACAGTAAAAAGGTGAGGTGTCCCACATATTTTGAAAAGCTGAGGTTTATATTTTGATTTTTTCTATAAAGCAAACACTGAAGTCTACTTTTTCCCAAGTTCACCAGCAGCTCATTTGGTAGGCCTATAACATTGCAGATTCTCATAAGATTACTAAACTATTTCATCAAATGAATTCAAAATCCAGCCATAAAAAGCAAATTTCTCAGCATTAAAAATAGAATTTTTTAAAAAAGCGAGAAATAACTAGTAAATATGGCCTGTTATGTATAGAATTCGTGCTACTCTCAACAATTATAGGAGATTTATAATAAAGCAAGTATTTATTTTAAAAGAAAAGGAAAGCAGTTAAATATCTTTAGGAAAATTAAAGGTTTAAAACCCAGGCAAAGACAAAATGTCTCTAGGGAAGTCAAACCTCAGTATAAAACATAGAAACCATACCAAGGCTAGACTGTCAGAGCAATACAAAAGTACAAATATGAACCTATTTAGTAAGATGATTTAAAAAAAAAATAAAGTAGGCTTTTTTTTTCCTCTGACCCGCCATCTGCGGTGGTATCATGGCCAAGATGCAGATTTTTTGAAAATCCTTACAGGGAAGATCACACTCAAGGTCGAACCCTCAGACACAAGAGAAAATGTAAAGGCCAAGATCCAGGATAAAGAAGGAATTCCTCCTGATAAGCAAAGACTGATCTTTGCGTAAAGCCACTGGGAGACTGACGTACTTTGTCTGACTGCAACATTCAAAAACAGTCCACTCTCCATCTTGTTTTGAGACCTCGTGGTAGTGCTAAGAAACTGAAGAAGTCTTAAACCACTCCCAAAAAGAATAAGCATAAGAGAGAGGTTCAGCTGGCTGTCCTGAAATACTACATGGTGGATGAGAATGGCAGAATCAGTCGCCTTTGTGGAGAGTGCTCTTCAGATCAGCGTGATGCTGGGGGCCTTATGGCCGGCCACTGTGACAGACCTCACTGCGGTGCATGTTGTCTGACCTACCGCTTCCAACAAACTGGATGGCAAGTCACTGCATATGGGTTACTAAAAGACATGAGCTAACATTTTAAATGAGTAATAATGAAGAAAATAACAATAAAAAATAAAGTTGGAGGGGAACATTTTTTTAAATCTCAGAGTCTGTAGTCCAGTAACCTCTTGAGCAAGAAGACATAATGTTTCATTAAATCAAATATCAGATTAATCTTTTTTAAAAATTTCAACTATTCAGTCAAATATGTGCTATTTCCACTTTATTTGAATATAATCTTATTATTTAGTTGAATTCTGTTCCTCCTATCAGTAATGTAATGAGCGTGCAGATTTTTCTTACTGAACAAGGTGAGACACAAAGCACAGATGTTACAGACATTAACAGTGAATAATCACATAATTTGTCTACAGAGCATATTAAATATCTTTTTCCCTGGGGCATAGAAAAACTATTTCAACAACAACTATTACCATACAAGGAAACAAAGAACCCCCAGAAACACAGAGAGTAGTTTCTAAAATCTGAAAGGCACTTCAAGAGCAGTTAATACCGATCAATGTCTATTCACTCCAAAAAAAATACTGAACACTTCCTCTGGGTCAGACATAAATTCATATCTAACAAAAAAATGACACTCAGTTTTGTTCTCAGCCTCCCTTGCCCTAGAGGTGGCTCTTAAGTCTCACTGCGTGATCTCCAGATGGAGTCGGGTAATGCTGTAGTGGAACTAACTACCTTGCTTTCTAAACAGCAGAGACAAATACTGAGAACTTCCCTAATCAGGAAGTCTCGTTTTCCAGAATTCCTATCTTATTACACAGAATAACTTTCTCTCTACAAGCTGGTCTAGTTCACCAAAAATGCCTTCTCTTTTCACCAAGCATCCTTCTCAGCATAATTTTTGCACTGCTACGTTTTGAGGGCATTTGGCAACCCTATCAGCTGTTACTACATTTCTTGTGCATCGACAATCCAGAAAGTAGCATAAATCCTCTAGATAAATGTAGTGTTTGAGATTTTCAATCTCATCTGTTTATCTTTACAGTATTTCCCAAAGGCGGTGACAGGCAAACACAATTATCTCTGTTTTACACGGGGCAGAGGACACAAAGAAATACAGCCCTGGCAAAATCACTTCACCACCAATTTAATGCATGGCTTTTAGTGATTCAAAAATAGAACCTCTGAAGACTCATTTGTAGTTCATGTTCCTGCCCTTTGCTAAATCAAGCTGCCTCCTTTTGATTTCCTTAATTCATGCATTCCTGAAATTTCAAAAAGAATCCTCATTAATATTAAAATAGCAGTCTACTAAAAATGAGTTTTCTTTTCAAAAGAAGAGAAAAGAAAATGGTGTGCAAACATTCTTAATGAGTTGCCCTTCAAAACACATTAGCAACAACATAGAAGAACCTATCGTTTTAAACAGGAGAGAGAAGACCTCTCTTCCAAACCTCCACTGCCAAATGTTTGGTAAGAAATAAGTAAATAGAAACAGCTGGTTCCATGCAACGTAGGAGCAGGAAAGCTCTGCCCCAGTGGACAAAACTACTCAGTCCCACAGTCTGACCCACAGCAGACTCTAGCCCCAGAATGCTGCCATCTTAGATGGTCTCCTGGAGGGGACACGGTACCTCAGGAGCCGGAGGTTCATGGGGCTCATTCTCCTCGCTGTCACTTGAGCTGCTCTCGCTCTCCGAGTCCGAGGAGCTGTCTGAGTCACTGGTGCTCTCTGACTCTGCACCACTGGAATGTGCTGAGGCCGCTGCTTCTGGAAGCGACTGCGGAGCGCTACAAAGCAACCAAGAGAGATCATCTGAAGATATAACGCAAGGTGGATTTTTTTCCCTCTTTTTTTATTTCTTTGCTGACTTTTCTGCTACTCAAAAGAAGAGTCTCAATATTACTAAACAGTACTAAATTACTGTGTTATCCAGTGTACCGAAAAGCCAATCATGGCTCAAAAATCACCAAAAAAACCCCAACCAACCAAACAAAAAACACCTTAAAATAGCTCACCTGACAACTCTATAAAAGAGAAGCCTATAGAATTTTGCTGCTGAAAACATTTCAAACTATACTAATTCCACTTAGATGCTGGGTGCTTTCTATTAGGGGTTAGTAAACCATGGCCTGGGCTGGCTGCCTGTTTTTCTAAATAAAGTTTAACTGGAACACACCCAGACCTATTATTTCATGTATTATCTATGTCTGTTATTATACTGCTAAAGCAAAGTTGACTGGCCTCAGCATATACTGTATGGCCCACAAAGCCTAAAATATTTACTTTCTGACCCTTTAAGTTTGCTGACCCCTGCTATATAAGACCTAAACAAGTTAATTTATGAAAGAATAGCAAATACATTAAAATCCATCCCCCATATGAGAATCTATATGAGAACTGTATGATAGCCAAAGACTAATGAATACGAATGGTGTTCCTTCGTAAAGTGACTTCAAAGGCAAGCCAGTCACGCTCTTGGGCAGAATTATAATATAGGCCATTCTTTACAAGTGGCTTAGGATGATCCACAAATATCAGCTGAAGTAGAGATTAACCACTCCAAGTTTTCAAAACAGGACAATAACTCTAGGTCAGTGAGAAAACACTGCTGGGCATATACAGAATTTCAAACCATATCTGAAAACCTTGCCTTCGATGGAATTAGCTAAATCAGTAAATCAATTCCTATGCTCTTGAAAGCCTCGAACTCTATGTAAAATATTAAACTTATTAAATAACATTATATTAGAATAAGTAGATTTTAGAAATATAACAAATGAAACTATTAGTTGAGGTCATTTTAAAACACACACACTATACTATGACATAATTTCCTCATATAAATGCTGCCTCAAGTTTGTGATCATTTTCACACTGGTAGCTAAAGAGCTTAAGCTAGTGATGATCAGAATGAGGTACACTTTCAGTGTTATTCCTGCCTTTGATTTATCCCCACTTTGTTTTTTCCATTCTCTTTTCCCCCACTTTTAAATTAGGTTAGTTTGTCGTATTTAATGAGTCATTATAAGCCACTAGAAATTTCTGACTAAAATGGAATACAAATAAATGAGCAGAGTTTATGAATCCATAAGACCTTTTACAATTACATGAGCTCCCTCCACATTACCTCTAACATCACATATATGCAACAAAGGTCTTTATTGTTGAGCCTGTCTCAGGGTGGATGACCACATCTCAAGGGAGTCAAACGACGACAGTGCAATTTAACTCTACATTGTCCACGAGGGCAGGCAGTGGCATATTAAATCATTAAATTCAGAGGTAGTTTAGATAGTTCCCATTTCCAAAAATTAAAAGATGTTTTCTAAAATATGCCTAAGCTGTTTACTAAATGAAAACAGTGCCATATTTCATCACACTAAAATGTACTGCCAGTCAATTTACAAAGCAACTAAAACAATTAGAAAATTTACATGACTCAAAAAACAGGCACTATGGAAAATACAGCTTTACAATTTTTGAAAATAGAGCAAATCTGTCACTTTCATAGAAACACTGGGCTCCTCAGCATAACTTTTCAAATGCTGGTTACATAATATTGACGAAAGTGATTTAGGCTTGTTTTAAAGTCTCAAAAATTTTAACCACCCAACATGATGATTTAGGTGAGTGCAGGGGGCTCTGTCTCTTTTAGAGAGTTAACCACCTCTCTAAGGCTCACTGAGTTCTTCAAAATATTAAACAGGTACTTTCTTTTAACTGTGATCTTCCACTGCCTTCCTCATGAAGAAGTTATCAAAGTACTATATAAGGCTGTAGTTTTCCTCCCATTTTGTAGAAAAATGCAAATGTTTTGTACACAGGAGAAAGCCACACACAGTACCTTGGCGGTGCAGATGCAGAAGGAGGCTTCTCTGGGGTCTAGGCATTCACAGTAAGGGGAAGAAGGACCAGGAAAAGAACAAAAAACAGGTTAGGATAAGCAGTACAGAAATGTTAGACAGATTTAAAAGGATTCCCAGTGTTAGAGGATGTACAAAACTTACTTGTTCGATCTCACTGTCCTCACTGTCACTGAGCTGAAGGTCATCTTCAAGCATGCTAAAATGGGCAGGGACACAGACACTGCAGAATTTAGAATAATTCCTAATAACTTCTTTTAACATATAAATAGAAAATATGCTTAATGGTTTAAAAAAAAAAGGATGGGACAGATGGGGACTTCCAGTCAAAATGGCGGCACAGGTAACACATATCGCCTTCATACATAATCATATCACAATTACAACTAAATTATGGAACAACCATTATGCAGAACCGTCAAAAATTGAATTGAATGTTAAGTCTGACAATTATGGAATTAAAGAAAAAACATCCATCCACACTGAGCCACAGAGCTAGCAGATAAGTGCCATTATCTGAGACTCCATCAACCTGGCTAACACTGTTTGTCCCACCCTAGAGACCCCCGAGACTCCATTCCACCCAACTTACATGCCACCCAAGCTGTTAACAGAGACTTCTCTATATGAAAGGCTAGTCTTGGCTCAAGCTTCGTTATCTTCCTGAATCCCCCGCCTCAAGGCAACGATAGCCAGCCTCAGTGAGCCCCCAGTCCCCATACCTCTTGCTAAGGGGCCCCAGGCCCAGCCCTAGCAGTAACCAGCCTAGATTCACAGCTTCACTTTGCCTGGAAACCTCCAAGTCCAGCATAAGTAGCAGCCCTCTCAGATTGCTTTATACCCCAGGCAGGGTAACCCTGGGGCAAAACACATTGGAAGCTGATATTGGCCTCCACTATCCAGGAAACCCCAGAGCCTGCACACCCAGTGCACAGCTGCAGTCCACCCTGCCCTTGCACAGCTCATCCTCCACAAAGGCCGGAGGTCGGTGGTCAGTGGTCACAGCCAGTCACTGCAACTGATCGACCTGGGAAAATCCCTCCCATTCACCTGGCAACAGCAACCAAGGCTCAACTACAAGAGGAGGGTGTTCTCAGCCCACACGAAGCGTGCACCTTGAGTACACAGCTTGGGTGATACAGGAGGCTGTGCCACTGGACCCTACAGAACACCTACTACATTAGGCCATGCTACCAACACAGGGAATCCCAGAAGCTCTACCTAACACAGAGAAACAAACACAGGGAGGTGGTGGAAATGAGGAGACAAAGAAGCATGGCCCAAATCAAAGAGCAAATCAAAATGTCAGAAAAAGGACTAACGGGATGGAGATAAGCAGTCTATCAGACTCAGGGGTCAAAACACTGGTTATAAGGATGCTCGAGGAACTTGGTGAGGACCTCCGCAGCGTAAAAAAGATCCAGTCAGAAACAAAGGATACACTAATTAAAATAAATAACAATTTACAGGGAAAGAACAGTAGACTTGATGAGGCTGAGAAATCACTGATTTGTAGCAGAAGGAAGCAAGAAAACAACCTATCAGAAAACAAGAAGAAAAAAGAAGTCAAAAAAATGGAGACAGTATAGCAGAAGCAGCCTCTGGGACACCTTCACGCTTCCCAACATCCACATCATAGGGGTGCCGGAGGAGGAGAGAAAGAGCAAGAAATTGGAACCTTGTTTGAAGAAATAATGAAAGAAAACCTCCCTAATCTGATGAAGGAAAAAGACATGCAAGTCCATGAAGCACAGAGTCCCAAACAAGACGGCTGCAAAGAGGCCCTCTCCAAGACATGTCATAATTACAATACCAAAGCTTAAAGATAAAGAGAAAATCTTAAAAGCAGCAAGAGAAAAGAAGTTAGTTACCTACAGAGGAGTCCCTGTAAGATGGTCAGCTGATTTCTCAAAAGAAACTTTGCAGGCTAGGAGGGGTTGGCAAAGTCATGAAAAGCAGGGACCTATAGCCAAGATTGCTCTACCCAGCAAAGCTATCCTTTAGAATAGAAAGTCAGATAATAGCTTCCCAGACAAGAAAAAACTGAAGGAATTCATCACCAAACCTTTATTATATGAAATGTTAAAGGGATTTAAGAAAAAGATCAAAACAATGAATGATAAAATGGCAATAAACACATATCAACAATTTAATCTAAAAAACAAACTAAGCAAAGAAGAAGAACAGAGACAGAATCATGGATACAGAGAGGATTTTGATGGTTGTTAAGACGGGAGGGGGTGTGAAGGAATGAATGAAGAGGTGAGGGGATTAAAAAGTACAAATAGGTAGTTACAGAATAGCCATGGGGATGTAAAATACAGCATAGGAAATGGAGTAGCCAAAGATTTATACACATGACCCATGGTCATGAACAATGGTGGGGAGATTGCCCAAGGGAGTGGGCGTTGCTGGGTAGAGAGACGCAAAGGGGGAAAATTTGGGACTCTAATAGCATAATCAATAAAATATAATTTAAAAAAATACAGACGCTCAGTGCCGTCCAAAGATGGATGGGACATGTGTAGGATTTATTTATTCATCCAATGCTTTATTCATGGAAATGTATGTTTGTCAATTATGACACAGAAACTAGTTCAGTCCAAAGCTCCTTATTATCTTAAAACTGAATCTTTCACATATCTGAGCATTAAAGGCAGAACCACTACAATATAGGGATTTGTTGCCAGCCCTAAGACTAAAATTCCCAGATCTGCCTGCTGGGAAGATAGGTAGGTAAGTAGACAGGAAGGGAGGGAGGGAAAAGAAACACTCAAATTATTTCCTTTTATATTCTCCAACAACTAGAATTAGTGATTAACCATCGAATGAGTTAGCAAATGAATGAATATCTAACAAGGCTTAGAACAGTGCCAGACACTTAAAAAGTGCTATATATGAATTAAATATATACACAGTGTCAAGGCAATAGTCACTAAAGAGTGCACTTACCCTACATTTCTGTCCAAAGGACATTATTACTATTTAACTTCATTTTTCATACATACAAAAATAGTCTCTCTTGTCTGCTTGAACACTGATCAGTGGAAAGAGTAGTAATACAAATAATATCATTGTCTAGAAAATGGTTAACCTTATAGGCATCGTTCTGGTGAAGATAAAAACTCAGTCACTTCCTCAAAGTTATATTAATATTCATCTCTAGACAATGTGGTTTATGATGACCCTCAATATTAAAAGTGAATATTTCTCAATCTGTACATGAACTCAAATCTTAGCCCCTTTCTTATCTCTTCCCTTTTACCTTCTTCCATGGACATGCTGAATATCTAAGGAATAAATTAGTAAATGCTCCTTCCACTTCCCCCAAAATTTATAAGCATGACTATTTGAGGAAATGCTATTAAGTGAATGTGAAAAAAACAAGTCTGCGTGAGTATTACTGATGCTCCATTTTATATTAGAGGTTATACATATGGAGGTAACCTCCAAATTATATTAGAGGTTACAATCTTTCAGTATTTCTAAAAATACCTCTTCGGTTATCTCACCAACAATTTTTACTGCAAACCCACTACCTGCCACTGAAACAAACAGGCATCATTATTTTGGGAATCCTTGGTAAAATCACTATATTTTCTAATGAAAACAAATAAGACTTGGCTCTGTCACAATGACTGCCTACACTCAATGTTGTAACTCTGCCAAGGAAGTATTTTCACCAACAAATGTATTAAAAAACATCCTGTGTAAGTTTCTCAAAAACATGAAAACTGTTAGCTTGTAAATATACATTTCACTTAACATTTATCTAAAGAAAGCTAAGTTCCTATTTTAGCAAGGCTAGAAAACACAGCCTTCAGATGTAGGACTTGGCAGAAATCACAGAAAAGCTTGGCTGGGACACACACAAGCAAAAGATAAAAGATATATCTTTGGAATAAATGTAAGGGAAAAAAATCTCACAGTGTATTCAATATTAACCAACAAAAACAAAACCGCAGTAAATGAATCTCTATGTTTCTTTAGTCATTGGGTTTGTTTTGTATAAAACTGATTTGCCTTAATTTTCTGAAACATCAATGGCCATGTACTTAAACCATGCTTCCCACTGGAAGCAGAGGACTAAATACCCTGTAAGTTCTTTGCCAGCTATTGAATGCCTAGCTTCCATGAATATATTCTCCTAAGGTCAATCAGAAAGTATGCAAGATACGTTGAGTAAACCAGAAAGTGTAAGTCCTGACTTTTAGTTCTACTTGCAGTTAAGGAATAAAAAGGACCATAAAAAAAATGCTGTTCCAGATTCTAAAACTTTCCTCTTCAGAACATTAGGTGCACGATGACAAAACAAGCCTCCAGGTACGAAACTTATTCAGGACCTAAGTGTTGAGGGACAGTGACCCAGTGACAGGAGATTGCTAAAGGCATCTCCAAAGACGACACTCAGTCAAAAAGCAATGATAAACCACTAAGGTCAAACAAAATCTATTCATTACATGGATGTACTAAGCATTTCATTTAATCAAAATTCATAAGTATAATTTATCTGACATGAGATCTGGCACACAGAGCATGTTGTGTCTGACCACTCAGCCAAGGTAACCACAGAGTATTCCAGAAACCACAGTTTATATCACCAGGGATGAGTAGCTTAATATAAACCAGCATGCTCGTACTCGGGGGGAAGGAAGGCATTTTCTAAAGTTTTTGATAAGAAACAAGTATTGCATCTCTAGTAAGAAAAAAGGTTACTTACAAAACCATAACTAAAAATTAATCACAAATGCCACTATAATTTTTTTAAAAAAGAATCTATATAGTTGGGGCAAATGTAACCCAATGACAGATAAAGATTTCATTTTTAGGGATAAGAAAAACATTTTAAAAGACTCAGCTGCTAAAGCCCCTACCTGTCCCATAAACAGTTACATCTGGGGCTGAAACATTAGCATATCATACGATAGTATACTTCACATATTATATGTGAAAGAACTGGTCACTGAATGTGAAGAACGACAAAATTAACTACAGCACATTGGGTCAGCATCTTTATACCCACCAAAAGAGAATCAAGTATCTTAGACCTAGTCCCATTCTTACCAAGAAAATCTGGGTCAAGAGAACCTAAGGCCCAAGTGACGCTCTCAACTGTAAGGTTTCCTGAGACAGGATCAAGTCATTTGTACCTTCTTAATTTCTATATCTAGAACTTAGCAGGTACCCTAAACAGCTGGC